AAACTTCAACATAACATGGTTCATTCACACGATTAATTGAAGAAATCATTAAACAGGGTAGTTCTTCATCTTCATCTTCCGACTGGTTAGACCTTTTAAAATTTCCACCTGTTCTTCCTGGGGTGGGGGTCTGGGTGACTTACTAGGTGATCCCAAAAATTTAACATTCGGCTGCTATTGGTCCTTACCATTCAAACGATAACAAAATTTTCTTGTATGACCTCTCTTTTTGCAGAAGGAACACAAATAAGTGTTGTCTTTTTTGTTAAACCGACGATCGTAAAATCTGCTCTCCCTTCTGTCCTGCCTGCTTCTGCTTCTAGATGGAGAAAAACTTCTATCACGGTTCCAACTACTACGCCTATATCTCTGTCTTGAACGAAAGTGATCATCTCTTCGTCCTAAACGCGCTACAACAGAAACTCTACTTTCATCATCCTCTTTAATGTACCTGGTGCGGCTGCTAGAAATTTCATGGTTAAGAATAATTTTTTCAGCTTTTTCAACAGTCAGATCATCTTCATCAAATAGTCTTTTTTGCAATTGGCGATCGTAAACACCAATCACCAAAACATCTCTAATAGCTCTCTCTTTAAACGTACCAAAATTGCATTTTTCTGCCAGCACCTTAACCGCAATCACAAAGTCCTCCGATTTTTCATGCTTTGATTGCTTTCTTGTCCAAAACTTAAAGCTGTATATTACGTCAGAGTCACATTTATCAAACCTTTTTCGCAAGGTCTCCGTAATTTGCTGGTAAGATAGAGCATCAGATTTGAAATCTGTCCCCGGAAACATTTTTTTCAATTCCGTATACACTTCCTTTCCACAAACTGCCAAAAAAGAAGTCTTGTATTGTGCTACCTCCAATTTGTTATGTTGAAAAATAAATTCAAGCTGTTCTTGATATTGAGCAAAAGGGATTGATTCTGGCACATAAGGATCAACGGTTGTGGATAAAGACATGCTTTGTTTACGAATGAAATATAAAAAAGAACACCAAAAATATGTATATAAATTTAATGTATGTGCAGTAAAATTTAAAATGTATAAAATCAATTTAAAACTTCAATTAAATTTTTTTTTTATCACAAAAGGGTTCCAAATCACATACTTGAATATTGTTGTTTGATTACACAATCGGTTACCCAAAATAAATAAAAGAAAACTTTACTCGGGTCACCAACAAAACAGCAAAGGAAATTCTCCACAGCAATGGCAGCTTACACAGCAACAACAGCACACCCAGAACAACCTGCGCAGTAGAAACAGCAGCTCGACTTCCTTCAGGGTCAACGAACTTCAGTTAGCCTCCGTGTTGATCAAAAACAAAGCACTTTTAAAAAACCGACGGTATTGATTCCTTTTCGCCGTTTCCACACTATCACTGTCTACTGATCCACGTTGCTCAATTTGGTGCTCAAAAACTCTTCTCAGGACTGCCAAAATTGCCAACCAGCACTCATGCACATGCACTATTCTACGTGCAAACAATAGTGAAATTTTCACATTAGCTCTCTCTCTCTCTCTCTCCTTTATATACTTTGTATGGCGGTTGAATCGCTGTCTTCACACTGTACACAAGAGAACGAAAAAAAACACAAAATGGCATGAGTACCGAGTTTAACACTGGTCGACAAAAAAAATGATCACATCGATCAAAACGTTCTTTTCCAGATCTTTCCTTCTATGACCTTGTAAAACACACTGCTATTCTTTTCTTTGTAACATAGACGCAAACAACAGTATGGCTGTTTCAGTACGATAACTCGTAACGTAACAAGCTAAAAAAAAGCAATGGCGAACTCAGGCTCAACAAAATGCCGTCTAAATCAAAAAACACTGGCTTCTCTTCTTTTGTGCTAGCACACCCAAATCACAAAGAGGAAAAAATCAACTTACGGTTACAATTTAGATTCCAAAAACAGGATGCTGAATTGTCAATTAATCTGCTTAACGATTTGCACGCATCCACTTACAAAATTCACTTAAACTTCACTTTAAATACAGTTGTACTTAAATTTATCCTCGTCGACAGTTGAAATAACTATAAAAAGGGGTACCGAGTCGAGGTGATGAGAGTAAATAATAAAGCACTTAATCCGTTGATGGTTGTACAAATTCTGAACTCATATATTTTGCCATTTAAATGATCTTTATTTCTTGTGATTGTGTGGTTTACATGTATGAATTTGTTAAGTGACACAGATGCGTCTTTTCAACTTTAGTACATTTGAGATTTTAATTATTATTTACAGTTTCTAGTCCTATCAGGCCTATTTTAAAGTATGTGAACTCATATATTATCGTCTTTACCTTTTATACATTCGTTAGCGAGAACTCACTCTCTTGATTTCTCGTTTTCTCTTTTATCTCTTAACCTAAACCGTAACTCAAATCTCTTCACTAACATCACTACAGACATCAACACATCGGTATTGACAATATTTCTGTATTCATCAATAATATTGTCAATAATTCCCCTTCGCGGCAATATATTGCTGCATGCTAAACAGAGATAAACGATTGATAATTTGTTTGTAGACGCCGCGTGAGCTGCTAGAATGATGCGAAGCTGCTCGACTTCAACTGGATTTCGTCAATTAATCATGTTTTGTTGTTTTTGACATCATCCACATCCAGAGGGCCAGTCACTTTCGAATGTATGGGAATGGTAGGAAACCATTTGGAAATGCATGAAAATTTTCAGTTTTTGTTCATTATCGTCTTTGTGGGCAGTTTTAGATGCACAAAAATTGCACTAGTACATTACTATGGTGATAAGGTAAGCACTCGTTTATTTATTTCCTTCTGTGAAAGCATTTTTAGTCACAAATCGTAGATTTTCTGATATTCTCCATACTGCAAAAATGATTTTCCTACCACTGAAGGGGCGACATCTCTCGGATATTCAGTATAGCTACTACTCAAATCATATAATTAATTGATGTTGATATTGTGGTGCCCTGCTTGCTATTAAGTGGAGCCGTATACAGGGCAAGATCGTTAAAGTGATACTGGCTACTTTACGTAGAACATGCTCGATTTAAAATTTGGAAACACAATTTATTGGTGTCTCGCCACCAAGGTTGTTAATGACGTTAACGTCTTCAATGCAAATTCCCATTAATTGGTGTTAACGCTAACGTTAACCAAGGGGAAGTTAACCGCCCCGAGAATAATTTTTTTCCGGCGCGTTTTTATTTTTCTAAAAATATTGGGAAAAATTATCATAAATTCAAGTAAATCAGGCTTTTTCCTTAGATACTTGAGAAAATTTACATGTAAAAATATTTTTTCTGCACACTTAGAAAAATTGATGTAAATTTAGGTGCTCTGAGACTGACATATACGAGCGTCAATTTTGACATAAAATTGAGTCGTAATAGACGTGAAACTCAACTCAATCAAACGTACTTTCGAACTTTTCAGTCTCGGAGCATTTAATTTTACATGACATGTTTGTTTACGTCTGTCCTTTATGTCAAAGATGGATTCCATCACGTGTAAGATTTGGTATTGCTGAGTGTATCATGAAATAAAAATTGGACTCTCAGCAAATATGTGGGAGTCTATGTTTTGTGACTTTTTTTGAGTCCAACATTACGGCATGATGACTTGCAAAAAAATGCATTGTGTATTTTTTATAGACAATTAGAAAAAAACGTGATTTATTTTAGATTTTTATATCTATTTCCAATCTTTTTAGAACAAACCGAACGTAATTATTTTTTTCTGAGCAGTGAACTTCCCCTATAAAGGAAAGTTTACCACACCGAAAATAAAATATATTTTTCGGCTCATTTCTATTTTTCTAAAAATATTAGGAAAAATTACCAAAAATCCAAGTTTTTCCATAGATATCAGGCGAAAATGTTTTAACACGTTAATTTTCTTGAGAATCTCCGAAAACAATTGTTTTTTTTATAGATTCAAGACACTTTTTTCCAATATTTTGAGAAAAATCAAAACTTTGAATAGTAATTTCAAATTCTGGCCATCTACTGAGTTTGCTGTAGAAGTAGGATGTCTATGTCCATCTATGTACTAAAATGAAAAAAATATTTTAAAAATATAGTCCGACAATCATTTACAATTATAATGACAAATTTAGTGAAGAATTGCTTCGAAAAAATTAAAATTTTGGCAAAGTTTAAGTAGAATTTGCTTTCAACAACAATTGCACTTTTTTTGGCGCCATGACAAAAGCATGCCATTTTTTAGGTCATTCGTGACATGTCCGGTAAGGAAATTTGAATCCTTGATCATCATCTTAAAATACATGGATGCCACGGCCCATTCCCTATTGGAATATGTAGGTCAAAATTTTCGAAAGCATATTGGATGATACGGGCAATATTTCCCTGTCTTGTTAATGCGTGTGTGAACAACAACAACAAATTCGAGTTAATGATAGTCATTTTAAAACTGATAAAATCCAGCTATGTATCGCTTCCATTCTAGTTACCCGATGGCAATTTTTCGATAAGAAAATGCTTCCAAAGGTTGTGTAAACTATATAATCATGTTAATTTTCACGAGGCGGTCCTCATTTAATAACTTTATTGTGGTGGTGCATTCTCTTGATAAGTGGACGCAACTGGTTGGACCTGTGGCTGTTGTGTTTTCGACACCTTCTCACGTTTTTTTTTCGGGGGCATGTTATGTCTATTAATTTGATAGCGTGAAATCATATGTGATGAATATTGAAGTATGCAATACTTTTTGCATGATCATTCTCTTCGTTGCAAGGGTTGATTAAAAGAAAGTTGTTGAGTGCTCTCTCATTTAGTTTTTGCATTATGTGATTTTTTTTTCAGCTTAATTTTCATTTAGGATGATGTTATGTTAAATAGTAAAAACTTGAATTTTGTTTCATAATATATATATAAAAAAAAAACTGCTGATTCAGTTTTGACGCTTCATATAACCCATTTGCGATAATAACACAACTTTCTCAAGCAACAATAATAAATCATTACTTTACCTTCTCATTCCAGGTTCGCCAATATGCAATTAAATTAACAAATTATAAAAGAGCACTCTTTAAATGGAACCCAACTCTCGAGGCTGCTGGGTAAGTTGCGTCAAATTTATATTTTTTTTTCCATCATACTTCTTACTTGTTCCACACCACATATTTTATTTTTGTTTCAAGATCGTGTTATTAAACTTATCGCGCAGCCATGCTGTGAGCGTTTTGCGCTGTGCGCAGTTCGTAAATATTAAACGAATCTGATAAGAAGCAAAACATCCGAAGCACCTACTAGCTTGCCCTTCTTGAAGTGCAATTTGAGAGTTTCTTGCAGTTTTTAGCCCGCGAGATCACACACTTCAGATTCACAAATTTCTCTCATTATCATTCGAATGTGTACACTTTTGTACTTGGTTTATTTTTATGAAATCTGTTCGCGCACCATAACTTCATTTTTAATTTTCAATTGTGTCCCATTTGAAGTTGAAGGACCACATGGCGCAAGATCTCACATTTATTTGAGGCCTTTTTCACATTGCCAAGGTTGAACCGCACTGAGACTTAAAAACAGGCGAAAGAAATGCATCTCACATATCGCCCTGGAACCTATAGATGCCGGATCGAGTGCGTGCGTTTGATGCAATCTGTGGGTCGTTGCAGCTGAGAGGCGCCCAAAGCGGAATAAATGAATAAAATATGAGAAATATTTTGCTTTTTATTGCGCTTCTGCCTTCGGTCGCCGTTGGCATATGGCGGTTGGCGGCATGTAGCAATGGGTGGCGGCCGTCGCAGTGTACCACGCCGCCTTTATGAGTTTATGTGACTGTAATGCAGTAGCTTGTTTATCAGTTTTCATTCATGGCACTTTCGGTTTGAGCTCGGCGGCGTAGTTAATATTCAGCTCAAAGAAGATACGATAAAATGCGGATGTAATTTTGGGTACGATATGAAAAATGGATTCGGCTTTGCGACGATGATAATTGTAGTGATATATTTAGATAACAAAATTGTTCATACGTAAAGACCGTAAAAAGTCACCTGAATTGATTAGGGTATTTACTGTGGGCTTGGTTCGACTTTTCATCAATCGTCATCAAGAACAAGGGTCTACATAGATTAGCTCGAATTTTCCGTTTTTTTTTAGTTTCGAGCAGATTTGATTCATTGACCAGTCATTTTTTTTTTAATTTAATCGAATTCCCAGTGAGATTGATTTTTTAGGTTAGAGTTTATACTAGAGTAGAGAGTAGAGTTAGAGGGTAGAGAAACTACAAGCTGCCTTAATTTAGAGCCTCTAGCCGGACATTTGACAATACCAGAGGCCCTTAAATTGAAGATGGCACTAAAGATACTGACATTGGATAATATTCCACTTCCCATGGATTCGAATTACCTTATATATATATATATTTTTATTTATATATATTACCTTATATATATATATATTTTTACAATTTGAATGTCATTAATCGTTGTTGAATCCGTTTGACTTGGGCTTTACTGGACATTTAGTCTATTAATGATCTTTTTCGAAGTAATGAGGGCCATTTGAGCATTTTGAATGTCATTTTTTTTGAGCTTGTTTTCGATCGTTTTGGCTGTTCTAAGGGCATTTAAATTTTTTTTTTTCGTTTTTAAGATATTTTGGTATTTTAGGGCCAATTTATCGTTTAAGGCCATTTTGTCAATTAAATACGAATTATTAAGTTTTTTTTTATATTTTCAAGGAAACTGTCTTTTTAAAACTGGGCGTATCCAGGCAAAATTGTGAAAAAAAAATCGAACTTCAATACCACAAAATGCGTAGGGTAGGTGTACCAGTTATGGATATATGCTCGTATTATGGAGAATTCAATTATGGCCTATAGAATCCTCAATTAGAACACACCATAATACGTATAGATGTATGTGGTACACCCAAGTATGGGAAAATTCAGCCACTCGCACGAGTACCACACACATACAATAACCTGCAAACAGAATACTGAACGAGTGCAAATTATTCCAACCAAGTGACTCTGCACGTAGACTCTGAACTGACAGCAGACGGATTTCACGCCAACTCGTCTTCGGAGTTGGCAGCACCCTCTCAGAACCTTATGAAACTTTGTGGGTGTGGAGATTTAGCAATTTTAAGCAACTTTGAGTACTTATTTTTTTCAAAATTTATCTCGCCTAACATTTGATAAGGGTCAAAGTTTTTTGTCGATTTTTTTTTCAAATCGATATAGCTTAAAAATGACAAGCCCTACAAAATAGTGATGTATGGCGAACTTTTAGCAAATAATGTGAAATTTTATAAAAAAATTTAAATAAATTAAAAAATTGGTTTCTACACTCTAAAAAAATATATTTAAAAATTAAAAGTCATTTTCCCAAAAATGGTACCCCTCAGATTTGCTTGATATTTTTTCTCATGAAAGGCAATATAATTACCTAACTTTTCTTCATACATCGCAAAGTGGGCGCTTTTAAGGAAAAAAAGTTGTTCGAACAATGAATCGTATGAATGAATGTGAAAATCGCTTAGTAGAAATTATGTTTTGAGAAATAGGTACAAAACAATGAAATTTTTGTGTACCAGGTATAGTTTTTACATGACTGAACAGCTCCTTGAGTTCATCGGACATCTTTGTGTATTGATCATTTGATATGAAGCAGAAGTTCAATTTTGTTATGCTTGTATCTGTTTGTTTAACTGCCCAGTCATACAGTTCTTGTGGAGTTGTGATTGTGTTTCCATAATCTCGAGCAAGACTTGCTCTCTTTGCCATTCGTTTGAGAGTTCCTCCAATTGCGTCACATGGGCCTTTCCCATGAGACGTTGCGAAGAAGTGCCATTCTGCTTCCAATCCATACTTGGACTTGAAGTTGCACAAACTGGCAAAATTCTTTTTATTTTTGTAATGAGCCGCTGCTCCATCTGACATGAAAGTAATTTTTGTGAAACTAATAGATTGTTTAATGAAATCTAACAATTTTGATATAAATAATTGAACTGCTATTGTATCATGGGTCAATACTTCTGAAATAATAATAAAGCTTAAATTTTCCAACTTGTTTTCTTTTATGTAGTAAATTTCGAAAGGATGTATCGTAGCTTGATTATTGTTCCAATGATACCCCTGTGCTGAGTTTTGAATAATAAATGAATAATTTTCAGAAAAGTCGCAAATCACTAAAATTTCACCGTTTTGAAGAGAATTTTTTTTATTACTTAGGTAAGATGATTGCTCTTTATGAATAAAATCATGGGTTATGAGCTTTTCAACTTTTTCCGTCAAATATTGAACAAACTCATCTGCAGGTTTAATAATAGTTTCCAAATTACAACGGTCGGTAGTCAACCACTGTTGAAATAAAACATCTTCCATATCATCTGCTTCTAATACTGATGTAAGTTCCCTCACGATACTATCTGTGGAAATGCATTCTTCACATGTACGATAAAAACAATCTATGGTTCTAATAGGACTACTGCAAAGTATTTTTAATTGAATTGTTCCACATTATATGGACCTTGGATCTGATCCGCTGATGGGATTGATTCTAGCGATGGATCTGTATCTGTAAAATTAAAGAAAAGAAAAAAAAAAATATTACCACGCATTAATATATAACGCTGTTAAGGTGATAGTACCATGAACGGGGGTGGTTTTGATAATAGGGGTAACTTTGGTAATGCAGCTAAGCCAAAAATTTATGACTTGAGGCACATCGTACGCAATATTTTGGATAGGAAACCGATGTTCCCTTCCAAAATAATGAATACGAAGAGCATTAAGTCATAACTTTTTGGATTAGCTGCATTATCAAAGTTACCTCCATTATCAAAGACATCCCCGTTTACGGTACATCGAAGCCGCATCTGAATTTTCCCCATGTTTGTGGAGCACGAGCTGCATAAACCGCATATCGTACAGTCGTGAAAATTTGATAGATTGTTCACCGAGGTTGGCCTACCAATCGATCAAATTTGTACGATAAGCGGTTCATCCAGCTCGTGCTCTAAAAAAATGTTGAAAATGAAGTTGTATCTTCGATGTACAATCCTTAAACCACACAGTTGAAACAGTTAAAGTTATTATTATTTACCTAGTGTATCATCAAATTCCTGATGTTCTGATTGCTGATGACTTGTTGATGGTTGCGGCTCTTCAAACTTCCGAGCATGGCTTGATTCTTTTCCATCCGATCGCCTCTTTTTCGGGAGAGGCGGTGCACTAAAATTCCACGACACGATTCACAAATACGCATTGTTACATCCAATTGATGATCAAAGCCCCATGAATGTATTTTCTCTATGAGACTTGATGATAAATTACGTAAATTATTGCGGCTGCAATTGGGATTGTTTATGTTGGCACTACATTGCACCCTTTTAATAATCAATTCAGCAGATTTTTCCATTGTTGTATATATAAACACTTTTTCGTTTCAACAACTATGCAGCACTACACTTTCAACAACTATGCACTACAGCAACTATGAGCATTGTTGTGATATCACCAAACTTAAATATTAGATTATGTCGGTAGAAACAGACTGCGGTGCTTTAAGTTTATACCTTATATCTCTCATGTGACTACCTGCGTTGTTATATAACTGCTATATAGCAGGTAACTTAACGATTATTTTAGGCATGCCTTAAATAATCGTTAAGTTACCTGCGCTATTATATGTATTCACTTGAGAGATGAGGTATAAACATATATGCATATTGCTTACTAATGGACACACCTAATACATAAAAATAAATGAATGATTATTTTTCTAATTAAATTAATCACAAATACATGAATTGAAATCTTTTCATGAATAAAACATACTAAGTGATTTTTACTTAGTTTACCTGTTGATTTGGAACAATTTGAGGGTGGTTTTATAGAAGTTGGATAGAGTGTATGCATATATTATAATACAATCCATCACAGGAAAGTGCAAACCATGCTGAGATGGCTGTTCCTCATTAGAACGTTTTGTTCTGAACTCTTATTGGACGATTTGCAGGTAACTTCTCTGTACCCTTTTCAAATGTTAGGCTAGATTTCGCCCAGATTATCGAAAAGTATACCCATAAAGTTTAATCGAATTTTAATAAG